GAGTGTACTGAACAGGGTGCAGCACCGCTCTGGCCCATCTGTGAAATATGGGACATCCAGGGGAAAAAATCTTAGGCTATGTAAGGGTGAAATGTAATATTAGAAATGGGCAGGACGACTCCTAACAAAGCAAAGCCAAAACGAGAGTAAGAAATATTAACGACTGGGACAAATGATTTCTCCAAGAGTCAAATTCATGCCTTATTTATCTTGGAGATGGAATACTCAAGATATGTAAAGATATAATGGTAAATAATAATCAGCTATATAGTTAACACTCTCCATTTTCACCATTCTCAGGAATAAGAAAGAGCTGAGTGAATACTCTCCTTCACTCATATCCTGCTCAATGCCTCAGTTACATATTTCACAAAATTTCAAGGAGAGTTTGTAAAAGGCTTCCCAATATTTTAATACTATATTTTCAAGGAAAAGAAATGTATGTTGGAATTATTGTTTTAATTTTCTTAACCCTTTGGTTTATTTCCTATAGTAGACTCAAAGGAAAGGCATTTCCTTTAATCTTTGCCAAGGTTACTTGATACCATATCATTCTTAGCTATGAGCTTGTTGGATTTAGATGAACTTAGCAGATGTATATTGTGGATTCTACTATACATATGCACTGAAAAACAATCCTTAATACATCTTTTGTCAGCTGTGTCTTACTAGCTGCCTAACACCTTTTTGCTATTAATCAAACTACACTATTAAAAGCAGGACATTTACTGGTGTAGGAAAAAATATTCCCCAAAATGCATTGAAAACATGTCTTGAACTTCACTTAATTAGGGTTAATTCCTCTTCTCAGATGTTGACATGTGCCTTCAATTCTGTAAAATGTACAATTATAAACCATCATTTCACAAATCACAAAATGAAATTACTAATTTATTTAAATATAACAACTCTCAAGTGTCCTTGTTAGTGTATCAGGTCTTTTTAAAACATTTCAAGATGATCTAAAAATATAAAATTTGGCATGAGTATATAGGTTTTGTTTGTGGTCAAAAGAAAAAAATCTTGCAATATCCAATTTTCAGTTTTAAGGGAATTCCCTGTCATGCCAGGTCTATGTAATTTTAGCTCCAGAAAGACGGTGTACCTCTAAGTGAAAGAATAACAAATATAATTAATCATTTAATTGGTCTCAGAATCTGAGAAAGTAGTTGACTTTCTCATGATTGGATAACTGTTCCTTTTAGTGGTTCCCAATTTTTTGCTTAAAAAATTGAAGTAGTCATCTGATCAACCCTTAAAAACAACTTACGGGATTACCATGTGATTTTGGCGTATAGCTTGGAAGGAACTCAAGGAACTGAGTGACATCATTATAACATTCCTGGCACAGAAAGCTAATACTGCCAGCAAGTACTGAACTCTGAGAGCAGTCATCTTAGTACGAAATATGGTTTAGTTTAGAGACCAATGGCACATTTTACGAATTCTACTAGTCTAAGTACACCAAAGAAGTAAAATGCTTTTGTTTCTTATGAGAGGTAGATTTGCCAACTGTTTTATGAAGAACTAAACTCTGCTGTCTGGGAAGGCATCCTCTATCTCCTGTGAAATAAGCTATTAAGTAAAAAAATTCAGACTCAACCTAGGTGTTCAGGGTAAAGGGTCACGGGAGAGGCATCTTAAAAAAACAAGCTTCTGGATTTTCAGAGCCAAGGAGGGAATTCACACTTAGCTTGATTGGGATGTGTGCTAATAAGACGTAGAAGAATTATTCTGAGATCTTCTAGAATGTGATCAAGATGTTGGGATGGGACCCAAAGAAAGGAAGACATAATTAGTAACTATGGATAACCAAGGCAAACTAATTCTGGGTGGATTTGAGAAGATTAGAGCTGGCTTTTAGCTATATTTTAAACCACAGCTCTACAACCCAAGTTCCCAGTTGCTGAAGGCAAATTTGCCCTTCGTCAGGTCTGGCACTGTACCGTGGCTTTTAAGTCTTGACTCCACCCAGTCTAGGGTGGTAATATTTGCTTCCATCAGATGGATTTTTGGTTCTGGACAACTCCTCCATGACAGAATGGAAATCTTTTGTTTGGTTATAACATCACCATAGGATCCTTTACAATAATTACACTGTAAAGGATTTTTATAATGATTTCACTGTATCCTTTAACAAATCTGGTTCTCACAAAAACTATATGAAATAAACAAGGCAGATACCCAGAATGTATGGTTCCATTTATATAAATTTCAAGCCCAGGCAAAACGAATCTATCGTATTAGAAGCTATGATGGTGATTATCTTTGGGAAGAAGAAAGAAAAAAAAGACTTGGCAGAAGCATAAAGGGACCTTTTAGAGGTGCTAAGAATGTCTTGAACTGAGTGCTGATTATATGGGTGTGTTCACTCTATAATTCATTGATCTGTATCCTCTTGATTTGTACATATTCTGTAAACATGTTCTACTTTAATAAAAAGTTCATTATTTAAAAAAATGCCACTGTCTTAATCACTGCATCATAGATGCCCATAAATAGTATTTAACAGACATAGATAGCTAAAAGTGGCAATAAAAATACTGAGTGTATTATAAAAAGAAAACCACTAATTGTGAATACAAAATTACTTGCTTTTTAATTCAACTACTTCCATTTATTTCATACCCATCTAAAACCTAAAATGAGAAATAAGAAAAAAAATTAAAATATATAAAAGGAAACAAAAACTATTATACTATAGTTAAGAATATACCCTTTTTTCCTTATTGTCCCCCATATTCCTCAGCTCTATCATTTCTCAACTCTGATATTTTCTTACTTTCCACAATTCCTTTCTATTTTCTTTCCTACCTCTTCTAATCCTCCAAGATCTTTTCCTAGGTAACTGGAGATTATGAAATGAGAGCATACTGGGAAGCTTCCTGGGTCAGCTCAGGACAAATGTAGCTCTTTCACACCTCTTATTTTTATTTCTTTTCATCAAACTCCATATATTTTATTGAGGAATTGGGGGAGGGGAACAGCGTTGGAGAACTGGGGAAGGGAAATAGACAAGTTACTGTCCTTTTGTTCTTCAGTCTAGTTGTGGAGGACATCACTTCACTAGCCCATGTTGGTATTATCATTGTGTTCTTCCCAGGTGAGGCAGTCGCTCACTGGCCATTGGATGGCTGCTCACACTGGCTGCCAGCCACTCACAGTAGCTCATGGCAGCCCAGTGCAGCAGGGGCTGCAGCCTATGCCTTTGCCAGTGACTCACCACAGCCCAGCTCCAGGTAGAGCTGTTGTTCACCATCTTAGCTGTAAAGGGTGCAGCGTCACTGGCCCTCATGTGGGACCCAAACCAGGGCCCTGTTTCTCAGAGCTGACGTCCCAAGCCAGCTCCTAACCAACGCGTCAATCGGCCGGCCCTTGCCTATCTTTTTGATTCTCCATACTTCAATACTATGCACTGACTTTCAATTCTTTTTCTGGCCCCAAACACCTGAGGAACGTGACATTCCCACTTCTAACAGTAGTGTGACGGTTAATTTTCTGTGCCATATGGCTGGACATGGTGCCCAGATACATGGTCAATTGCTGCTTGTTTCTATGAAGGTGTTTTTAGATGAGATTAACATTTAAGTCAGTGGACTGTGAGTAAAGCCTGATATGGTGGGCCTTATCCCATCAGCTGAAGGCCTTAATAGAACGAAGACTGACCTCTGAGCAAGATGGAATTCTGCCAGCAGACAGCCTTTGTGCTCAAACTGCCACTCTTCCCTGGGTCTCCAGCCTGCCAGTCTAGCCTACAGATTTTAAACTTACTAAGCCTCCACAATCACGTGAGCCAATTTCTTTTAATTCCTCTCTCACACACACCCTTTAGGTTCTGTTTCTTTGGAGAACCATGACGAATACAAGTAGCTAAGGTCATGATTCTCAACTAGAAATGGGGGTGGGGGGCCTACAGAAAGAGCAGGGGGGTTGACAATGATAGCTCATTTAAAAAAGGTCTGATGCAGACCTTCTGGAATACCTACTCAAGCCATTCACTAGTCTTCCTCTATTACAGAGGCTGGAATGTTAAAATAAAATTTCCGACTTCCCTTAGCTAAGAGGTAGACATGTGACAGAATTGTGGCCAAATTCATGAGAAGGGCTTCCTTCCCAAATACAATGCTCAAGTCTCACCAGCAGAAAGCACTCTGCTCTGGACTAAGGATTCAGATGCAAAGACAGTGCCTGGAGGAGCTGATCTTCAGCGCTGCTACTACTGCACCATCCTCAGTGCTCCATGCATGGTGTCCTAGGTAAGAGTGAAGTAGAATCTGGCTTCTTAGTGCAACTTGTGCTGAAAGCTGAGAAACTTAGCCTATGTTATGTTAAGTGTTATTATATGCCTTTAAAAACATAGCTGTAATCAGGCTCCACTGAGGCTACGGAAACTCAAAATCTGCAATGGGCAGGACTTGGATCAGCAAAATTTCCTGAAAGTAATGATTATGAAGCTTTGACAATTATGACTTACTAACGAAGACTATAGGATATCCTTTAGAAAGGGTCTTTGAAAATATGGCCTGAATTATTTTATGGCATTCCACTGTGAAGACAGGAGTTAGAAGAGAGCAGTGCTGTGACATCATTTGCATTCTGTAATTCACTAGTGAATTAAAAATTTTACCTCAGTACACTTTCAATATTTGTTACAGTAGAGAACTAAATCACTTTGTAATGAAACCTCACTAACAAATCATTAAGAAGGAATTTACAGGCCAAGTTGAAAAATGTAAATGAAGCGCCCATATTACCTAACAATGTTTTAAGTCAACATAATCATATCTTTTAAGGCTACCAATGATGTACCTCTAAAAAATTTTCTCCAGACCTATTTATAAAAAGTGCTATCAAGTAATGGCTTCAAAATTCTGTGTTTACCTTTTTTTTCACCAGTGTAAGGTACATAGTCTTCCCTGTCCTTATGCTCCAAAGCTTCCTTCTCCAGAAATGAAAGGAGATGTTCTCTATCAAATGGCCCCGTGGCAGCCTTTGATGTCTGGTTCTTCTGCCGGAACCCTGCAGGCAGAAGGGCATTCTGCCAAAAAGAATGAATCACCCATTATGACCCCAAGAATACCAACCCTATATGCTTCCATAGATTATCCAGATAAGAGTTATAGACTAGAATATGATCCAGACATTAAACACTTTATTACATGATATTAAGGCAACAATGTAAGTGTTCCACAGTTATTTTTTTAATTAGGTAGAATTCACTTAGATTACTATTAAAACAAGCACATAAACATTTTCTTCAGAAAGCATTCTACTATCAGGAAACACCCTTTACTTTTAAAATGTCCTGGGGTGGTAATGAAAAAAAAAGTTTTTTAATGCTTAGTAACAACTCAGCATATGTACATGCAGAAAATAATTCCATTACAAAAGAATGTTAAATAACTACATACATCATAGTCCTTCATAATGACTTCCATTTCATTGTAAAGACTGTCTCATAATAAAAAACATGTACATCATACATAGAATATCAGGAGACTAATGTTTACTTGTTTGTATTTAAACACAGCATCAAAGGTTCAACTTCTATGTGCATGTTATGTATATACAGCAGCACTAGGATGTATTTGTAGCAATAACTGTCATTGCTACTCATGCACCAAGGCACCCTGAGATTCTCATGGCAAGAATCATGTCCCTGGGTTTTCACCCGGCTACAGTCTTTTTGAGTAATAAAGTTAAGGTGGGGGAGGGGTAGGAGGCAGGCGATGGATTAAAGTCGTCTCCTGTAGTCCCTAATCTGAATTTTCACTAAACCCAGGCATAGCAAGCGCTGACTAGACAATGTGCGTTCCATGCTTTTGCTTGTCAAAAGCCAAAGAGGTGAACTTGCCTTGTCTCATTATTCCTGGGTATTCCTCTGCTTTGAAAATGGGAGGAAGCCACAGAAGTCATGCAAAAGGGCCAACCCTCTTTTGCAACACCTCCCAATACTGGCAATGATGCTGTACCTCATTGGTATTGTAAGATAATTTTTCATTACATGGAGTGATCTTACATGAATAATGATAACAAATATTCATTTTATTACTAGAAAATATAGCACTTCAACTTTGGCTATTTGCTGAGATCCATAATAATTTTCATGAAATTCACCTCTGTGTTCTCATGAAATAATATGCACTACACAGAAAGCTTACCCATAAAGATGAAACACAAAGTAGATCTATTCCTAACCCTGTACCAAAATGTTTTTGTGACACAAAACTGTGTATGGGAACATAAAAAAGAAACACAAGATTTCTACCCTTAGATTTTGAAATCAAGACAAAAGCTACATGAGGAATCCATGCCCAATCAACCATCAAGTCCTTTCCATTTTTACTTCCTAAAAAACTCATTAGTCTGTTTACTTTTCTCTATCTCCTACACCATTACTTCGGTTCAAACTATGATCCGAGCTGGGATGGAAGATTACATCAGCCTCCCAATGGGTCACCCAGGATGAGTTCCTAATATTCTTCACCCCTCAATCCCACCCCACAAGGTTATCCTCGCCTCATCTCACACCCTCTCCATCCTTGCCACACTAGCCCTTGATTCCCCCTTGTACTTGCCATATACTCCCTTCTACCACAAGGCCTTCCCTGGAATGCTCTGTCCCTCCATTTTTTGATGCTCATTTTTCAGACTGCAGCTCCATTTTCCCAAGGGAAACTTTTCCTGAATTCCCATTATCTGCTCTTATATCGATATGGCATGATTATTTGATTAATGTCTAACTCTCCCCAGTCCTACCAGCCTGCATTATGAGGGCAAAGACCACGTTTGTTTTGCTCTCTCTTGTATTCCTAAGCCTAGCGTAGTACCTAGGATATATAGGTTGCACCCTCCTGAATAAAGATTTGAGAATAATTTTAAAGAAAAATGCTCATTAAGGTGAATTTCAATAAAAGTTACTGCCCTTCACCATCCAAAAGGCATTCATGTACATGCTGCTATTTCCTGGTGGTAGTGATGAAGCTGCTTTATTCCATCTACCTGCTCAGGCCCATAGGAAACATATGCGTTTTAAATTATATGTTAGCTGGACTCCTGGCTCCTTAAATACAGTCTTTGACCACAAAATAAATGACAGCTAACTGGCTTTGGAGGCTATAAACCTATGAACCAAGCTTTATTAGAAGCATAGTTTAAGTTAATGAATCATAATTACTTACACAGGAAAACATAATTACTTACACAGGTAAACATATCATTAAAATGACTGCCACTAAACTTTGCATGTTTCTCCTCTGCAGTGGAATTTTGTTGTAATAATATATTTATCTTGGGAATGGAAAAAAAAAAAAAAAAGCTTTTGCCTGAGCTGGTTGGCTGTTTTTTGGAGACAGACGTTTTGAGAAAATGCAATGTTAGCTAATAAATATACTGAGAACAGCATAAGCAAAGGAAAACAGCCCTCCAAAATATAACAAGGCACCATCCCCACTCTTCATCTGCTCTTCTCTACCCTCTGAGACTTTATAAATTACAGTGGTATTTCTCTGGCTGAAGTAATTGCTACTACCCTTGCCCTCTTTTCTTACCTGATCCTTAATGGCCCACTTTCCAAATATTTCACCCAACAAGTAGCATGTTATCAATAAACATCATTGTTCTGGTCTTGACAGAGGTTGGGGGAGTTGCAACTAGGGTTGGGCAGTTTGCAAATACATCCAGAGGTTAGAATTCAAGCCTCCCCACATACAAAAAGCAGGCCATAATAAGAAAATAAGAAAATCTAAACCATTAGCTTTTAGATCCGCATAGGGCATGAGTTGAAGGGGACTCACTCCAGTTTAACAGAAAGACCACTAGCCTCTGCCAGGGATCAATCAGGCAGTGAGGGATCCAGTCTCAGTTCTCTCCCTAATTGTAATAAGTGAGGGAAGTCACCCAACTTTTGTTTTCCAAGCTCTAGATCAACGTTCTCAACCAAAGGTGTTTTTGTCCCCCAGGAGACAAATGGCAATGTCTGGAAACATTTTTGGTTGTCACAACTGGGGGTTCTGGGGGGAGGCATATTAATCATGGTTTTTATTTTCTGTATTTTATGATGCTTTGACATCTTGAGGGCCTGGCTAATCCTGAAAAGACTGCCCCTCCCATAGCTAATTCCTAAGGGTAGCAAAACAACCTCCCCTGCCACCAGTGTGCCTTTCATATGAAAACCAACCAGTGCAGAGCCTATAGCTCCAACCACCCACTCTATCTCACACAACAAACCAATATTTCCCCTGCCCTGAATCACCCAGGTACCGGACTACCAGAGACCACTCCTGTAGCCCAGAGTCCATTGAATTTATTCAAACTAGCCAGTCCTAAACTTGCTCACACTTGCCTACCCTGTCTCACCCATTCCTTCCCTTGGTAACCACAATAAAGGTTCCAGGCCATGCCTGTTCCATGGCTCCTTCTGCCTCCTGATGAACCTGAGTGCTTCCCCATGTGGCCCTGTGTGGCATGGTGTGCCTCCTGCTGGTGGGAACTGTAAGTAACAAACTTTTCTTTCAAGGCAGTTGTCTCTATATCTGCCATCTTACCGTACCTGATTAAAACAAAATTCCAGGTATGTTTTAAAACAGGGTTATGCTATTGGCATGTAGTGAGTAGAGGCCACGGATGCTGCTACATGCACAGGACAGCCTCCACTACAAAGAATTATCCAGCCCCGAATGTCAACAGTGCCAAGGTTAAGAAACTCTGAACTAGATGAACTCTTAGGTTCCTACCATTTGATTCAAATAGGCCTAACAGGTTGAACTCCATGAAGAAGGTATTGCTGTGACATGAGCAAAACAGCACTGTTATCCGAGTATCTCCCCAGTTTTAGGTGTACTGAAAAGTTTTCTTTATAGTAACAGTTATCATTAAGGGATGTGACCTATGGTACAGAAACATTTTCCAAGTGCTAAAGTAATGTGGAGAATAGGAGTTTAATTCTCAATAAAAGTTTAAAAACATCCCAGCAGGAAATGAACGTGTGGTAGCGACAAGAACAATTTTGTAAAACAAACTCTACCTCAATCCTAAAAGGCACTAAAAAAATCAATGTCTTGGCATAAAGAAACTTGTAAAGAAATCTAGCAAATAACCATTACTTTTAGGTTAAGTAGCCATAACCTTAGGGTTCTCCCCTCACTACCTCCCCGCCCCCCAATACATACCAGGGAATAACAATTTAAGGGTCAAGGGTCTCTACCTTAGCCTATGTAACTTATAAGACAAACAACATCCACTTCGCAAACTGAAACATACATACATCTATTCCGGTCTGCTCCACATGAGTGCAGGATTGCTGAACCTACTTAGATCTATCCTACCAATGACTAGAAACATTCGATTTGGTCAGCATCTATCAAAAAGGTAACAATGAGATTCAAAATCATAAAGAACCTTCCAGAGACTCTGCACTACAGCCATCCTGGTACAGCAGCTCAGAAGAGGCACAGAGGTCAGCATACATCGAAGAGCTGATCATCTGCTGCATTTTACCAAAAACATTCCTCCCTGACCAGAGAGAAATAATTTCTTACAGTAGAAAAAATTTCAGGAGATGTTTGAAAATTAAGGATGTTGGAGAAAGTAGTTTAGCATAGTCATGTTAGTAAGGATACAGAGGTAGAAGTAGGGGAACTGGAGAGAAGACAAGAAGTTCATCTGGATAAAGGGGTGCCAGGGAAAAGTCATGGAAAAGCTAACTGTTCAAAGATACCTACTTTATTAAAAGGGTTTGAAAAATTATTTCATTTCTCTTCATTAGCGAGCACCTACCTCAGGGTCAAGATCATCCAGAACAGTTTCCAGCTGTTTCAGTTCTACTTCTGACAGATTCCCAAGGAGCTCATCTTCATCAAGGTCCTTGTATTTTTCTAAGTCCTTCCGGAATGGCAGTGCCATGGTTTGCACTTAGTTTTTGCTAGTTAGTACAGTCAGAAGTGATTTCTACTTTTTCTTAAAGCTATGGAGAGAAGAACAAAAACATTTAAAATATCACCTCCACCTACTGAGATCTATTACTAGGTTAGATGAAATATAATTTCCAATGTTATATATTCTTTGACCATATATCACACACTACCCTTTTCTATGGATCATTCAATGCCTTTACCTTTTGTCATTTGTTGACAAACAATAAAAAAATAACTGGGAAAAAGTGGGGTAAGCAGGGAATAAAATTTAAATCCACTAAAATGTTTACTTGATAGAATTTAGATTTTCGGATAACTGAATTTTAGAGGGAAAGAACTGTAGTATGTGCCAAAATACAATTTTTTCCATCAATGGCTTTCAAATGATTGCTACCAGAGTACTTTGCTTAAGCACAATATGTTTAAGGTACAGTTGTTTTACTGCAAATTGCGTTAAACATTATTTTGTCTCAATATTAATATGGATATTAATATACTCCCCATGGGAGAAATGGCCTCTTCCCATTAGAAAAAA